ACGAACTCTGCTTCTCCACATCCCAGCTGTCTGACCTTGGGTAAGTCGTCTAGCTCCTCTGTGCCTAGGATTTCTCATTGGGGATTATCTCTTGTAGCATAGCTTATCCCTAAAGATGGCCACCATCTATCCCTTTCCTCCCCGGATGTGCCTGCTGCCCACAGCCCCCCACTGAAAAGTGTAGTCCGTTCCTCCACCCCTGACCTGACTCTAAGCTGGGCTGGGGCTGCCTGGATGCCCCGTGTGGTCAAGGATTTAGAGGACACCACCTGGCTACCAACTGCCTACACCGGCATGAGAGGCACACTCAGCTGATCCCAGTCAGACCCCAAAACCATGTGAGATAATAATACTGGTACATGGCTGTTCTGAGCCGCTGAGTTTTGTGGCACTGTACAGCACAAGATAACCACATTAAATGTTGATGGGGATGGTCATATCAGTGTCTATCTCACGGCATTGATATGAGGATTAAATGAGGTAATATTCATTAGATGCTTAGAACAGTGCCTGGTAATACAGGCACCCCTTGGAGATACCATGGGTTTGGTTCCAGACCACCACAATAGAATGAATAACACAATAGAAGAAGGCAAATGAGTTCTTTGGTTTTTCAGTACATGTAAAAGTATGTTTACACTAGACTGGAGTCTACTAAGTGTGCAATAGCATTATGTCTAAAAAACCAGTGTACGTACCTTCCTTAAAAAAATACTCCATTGCCAAAAACATGCTAACCCTCATCTGAGCTTTTAGGGAGTTATAATCACTGATCACAGATTAGTATAACAAATATAATAATGAGGAAGTTTAAAATATTGCAAGACTTACCAAAACGTGCCACAGAGATACCAATAGATTTGCTCAATGCAGGGTTGCCAAAAACCTTCAGTTTGTTAAAAAAAAAAAAAAAAGAAAAAGAAAAAAATGCAGTATCTGCAAAGCGCAATAAAGTGAAGCACAATACCGTGAGGGCTACCTACGCTACCACCTGCCACGTAAGAACACACTGACCAAAACAATGGCCCGGGGCATTCTGAGGGTATTCGAGTCTCAAGCTAATAAACACTTATTTTGAGGGAAGCCCAACAGTTGTCCTTGACCCAGTCCCCCATCTTCCAGAACATCCCTTAGTCAATGTGCAGTCGGTGGGTGGTGGTAAAAAACGTGTCCTGAAAACTGACTGGTGTTGGTCCAGTCTCTGAGTCCCTTGGCTTCTCCATGCTCTGTGTCCACAGCTTTTAGATGAAGAAGACGGTAATCACGGCCGCCACAACGCGACGGTGGTGACAGACAAATAGGAAAGTAGTTGTGGAAGAGCTTTGAAGACCTCCTCCATTTGTGTGTGTCTGTCAGACACTGAAGTCCATATTTCCTTGAATCAAACCCAGGCTTTATAGTTCTTGGCTACAACCAAGTCTCTTGCTGATACCCTCCACCCCCTGCCTCCTCGTCCTTCGTTCCACCCCATATGGTGGGGTCGTGGTCTCCAAACCTCAGGTGCACTTACTACCTTTCTCTTTCTTCTCTCCTTTTGTACCTAAGCAGCTGCTTCTCCTCCTCCTCCTCTTCCTTCTTCTTCGTTTTAAATTTATTTGAGAGACAGAGAGAGCTCAGCAGGGGGAGGGGCAGACCAGGAGGGAGAGGGAGAAGCAGGTCCCCCACTGAGCGGGGAGCCAGATGCAGGATTCAGTCCCAGGACCCTGAGCCCAAGGCAGATGCTCGACTGACTGAGCCACCCAGGCACCCCCTTCACAGCTAGGTTTCTTGAAACCAGAACCCTTGCTCACTGTCTCCCCCTCCACTCCTGCATCTGACGCCCAGCTTCCACCAGCAGCACCACACTGAAACTACTCCAAGATCCCCCAGGTGAGCCACCAGAGCAGGCTCATACCAGCTCTTGTGAGCTGACTATGTCTCTCTTCCCAACTCCACGTTCAGTGACATCATGCTGGTAGCTTAAAAATCATCCATGGCGGGAGTCTTTACACGACAGACATTGGCAAGCACTAGGAACCCGGCTTTCCCTCTCTCCAAGGTGATGGTCATTAACCGTTTACCAGCACATCACTGCCAGTGACCTTCTAGTTGCTGGGTGTAAAAGGGCACTTTCGAGATTTTCTTTAGTCGGCTTTATCTTCACTGGACACCATTGATCATTCTCTCCTTTCTGAGAGGCTCTCCATCTCTGGCCCCCTAGCTGCCACGCCCCCAATTTTCCTCCTATTTCTCCATCTCTTCTCCATGCCAGCCCCTTAGAGGCTTTTATTTAATTCATCTTTCCAATATCTGTGTTCTCCGGGATCCTGTCTTTTTTTGCTATACAAGCTTGATAGGAGACATCTTACATTCCCATAGTTTCAACAAATCTGAAACCAAAAGGTTATCCTTGGCCCCTCCCTAGCCTTCACTTCCCCATATCTATCCAACATCAAGTGCTGCTGATTTTATCTCCTAAATAGCTCTCATTCTCTCCCCCTTCTCTCATCTTCACGGCCAATACATACTCCACGCCACTGCCCTCTCCAGTCTGGACCACTGCAGTAGCTTCCTACCTGCTCTATTTCCGGCCACTCCTGTCCTCCACGTCGTTCTCTACATTTCAGCCACAGTGACTTCACAGTACAAAACTGATTGAAATACTTCGTCTGGTCCCAGCAATTCAGCAGCTCTCTGTTGCTCTTAGGAGAAGATCCCAATCCTTAGCAGGACTTGGGGACCCTGCAGGGTCTGGCCTCCGGCCTCCAGTCTCATCTCAGACCCATCCCTCTTGCACTCTGGCCACCACTGGCTTCCAGTACACCGTGGTCCCTCTAGAAGCAGACTTTTGCACATGCTGTTCCCTCTACCTGGAAATTCGCTCCTCTTTCAATTCTTATTCCTCGTTCCGATCTCACCCAAAAGGCACTTCCTCAAGGAACTTCCTGACTAGCACCTCTTCTTTGTAGCACTTATGCGGATTTAAGTGTTTTGCGTGCCCCACTAGATCATAAGCTCCAGGGACAATCTGTTTTGCCTGCTCTTGTATTCCCAGCATCTAGCTCAAATAGGTTTTGAAGGAATGAAACATGCCTTTCAGCTTCATACCTGAAGTCAGTCCCCTCTTGCAAACTGCTGGTGACTCCATCCTTCCATTGCTCAGGCCCAAGACGTGGAGTCCTCTTGGATGCCTCTGTTTTTCCCACCTCCTGGGACCTAAACCACCTGCAAATCCCATCAGATCTACCTTCAAAGTACATCCAATATGTCAGCCAGACAGCATGTCCCTCCTGATGGAAGAACATAACCAACTCAGGAAGCTGTCTTGCTAATTCCCAGGCCGTGAGAAACTCTTCAGGACAAACAACATAATGTCTTCAGAAATATATTGCAAGGGGGCAAACAAAGAGAGTCTCTTCACTGACCTGCAGTCTCCGCACGCACTGCAGTGTGAGTCATCCTTTAAACACATTAGATCATGTCCTGTCTGTTGAAGCCCTCCCATGGCCTCTCATGTTGCTTCTGGGACCTAGCTCTGAACGTCCCTCCTAGCACTCAGCTGCTCCTCTGCTCCCCCATCATCTGTCAGGGGCAGAAGTACAAATTCTCTGGCAAGGCCCATGAGGCCCTGGTGATGTGGCCTCTGTGCATCTCCTGGCTCACCACCCAAACCCCAGGTTTGCATAGCAATCTGCCCTCACCCATGCTCCTTTGTTTTAGCCCCTCCTACCCGGGCCTGCCCGCACTAGGAAGCTCCCAGGCTCCCTCAGCCCCAGCTCCGAGCCATCTCTCTCATAACCCAACACAGTCCAATCTGCTTTCGAGCTCCCAGGAGCTCAGGGTTTTATTTTGTCATCATGCCTTGCCTCATCAGTCTCCTTCCCCGGATCCAGCTCCTTGAAGGCTCAGGCTACCTCTTCTATCTCTATAGCCCTGGGCACAACACCTGAGACTCAAAATTAAACATATTTTGAATGAACGAATGAAAATTCTACATAAATTAGCATTGTTACATCTTTTAAGCCTCTGTATACCGAAGTTTCCTGTAACAGGAAGAACATCCTTACCCCTATAATTACACAGAAGTCATAGCTTTTAAAATTGTTGGGGAAAAAAGTGCTCTCGACTTCTCAGCAAAACATTAAAAAAAAAAAAAGATTTTATTTATTTGAGAGAGAGAGTGTGTGAGCATGAGCAAGGGGCGAGGCAGAGGCAGAGGGGGAAGGAGACTCCCCACTGAGCAGGGAGCCCCTGATGACGTGGGGCTCCATCCCAGGACCCTGAGATCATGACCTGTGCTGAAGTCAGACGCTTAACCTAGTCACCCAGGCGCCCCTCAGCAAAAGATTCTAAATAAACAGAATTGAGGTCTTAGATGTCAAGAATGAAATAATAATTTTAAAAAATCTTTAAAAGTGTAATCATAGGGCCGCCTAGGTGGCTCAGTGCGTTAAGCGTCTGCCTTCGGCTCAGGTCATGATCCCAGGGTCCTGGGATCGAGCCCCGCATCGGGCTCCCTGCTCGGCGGGAAGCCTGCTTCTCCCTCTCCCACTCCCCCTGCTTGTGTTCCTTCTCTCGCTGTGTCTCTGTCAAATAAATAAAATCTTAAAAAAAAAAAGTGTAATCATAGTTCTGTTATAACCAGTTCTTCCATTAGTTGTCTAGATTTGGAGAGTTTCATTTTAAAAAGTTGCACACCAAGCCAACTTGCCTGTCCACTGAGCACCTTACTTGGAAGAGTCAGCATCAAGGGGTGAATATTGGGGAGGGAGAGTGGGGACAAGGGGGGGTTCCTCTCTCCAGAAGGGAGATCAATAGCCCACCAGGATTTGGGGAAGAGGAAGGTGAAGAGTTCTCACATATGGAGGAAACTGCCTCTGCAAAGAGCACCTGATGGAGACAGAGGGCGTGGAACCAAATCAGTTGATGGGAGCCGATGAGAAAAGAGGAAGGTGAGCAACAGGACTAAGAAGACCCAAAGTAATTCATACAATATGTACAAATAGGACTGCCTTGCATGATTTGTTTTGATGCTTTTAATCCAGTTGCTTTCTCAACTGTTACAAATTCTTTCAATATTGAATCTGTTGTTTTGCTCGATCAATGACGTTAGTTTCAACAGCCAGCAGTTATCAAAGTTTTGGTCTGGATCTGGTTTGGATTACCCTTCCAGTACAAAATTGGTGCTACCGGCCACCCACGAGGAGGACTGGAAGTCTGAGTTATTTTCCCTGTGTTGCTGATGGATTGTGCGGCGTGAGCCACTGGCACACCCTTCCACGTGACCTACTCAGTGTGACCCCCTGCATGCATCTGAAGATAACGAGTCAAGGTTAGGGGTATGGTCTGTGATGATGGAACACAGTGTTTTCTTTGGGTGAGCAATTACTAGCTTAGAACAGCATTAAATGATAATTTTACTCCATATTCTTGGGAAAAAGTGCACAAGTTTTTAAAAAAATGGTTTTATAGGGCAATACCCCAACATCGAGGAGAAAGCCAAGTGCCCCAAGTGTTGAGGCGTGAGGACAAAAAGCAGGGGTGTGCCAGGGAGAGCTGAGGCCAGTACAGCCTCCCGAAAGCCGGCACTGGGGCACCGCCGTCCTAGCGCCGCCTGCCCTCCTCACGCCTCCTTTCCTACTCTCCGCTCAGTTTCCAGGAAGCAGTTTCCTCTAAGGTGCTGAGAAGAAACGAAGACATGGGCTCTGAAGTCACGAAGTCCTGGGTTGGAATCCTGACTCTGTCTGGCTGTGGGATCTTCTCAAAGTCACCATAAAATGTGGATAGTGAGGGCGACTTCCCAGGCTTGTCGGGAAAGACCTGAATGAAACGGCCCATGGGAAGAACGGTGCCAAGCACCTGGGACCAACTGGAATCTGTCTCCTGGGGCAGAGACACTTCCAGGGCTCTCGGATTCCCCATGCCAAGGTCAGGCCTGTCCAAAGCACCGAACGATAAGACTTCCAGCTTATTCTGCCTTTTTTTTTTAAATGTATATTCCGTTTGGGTCCTAAGCATGTAAGTAGGTATCATGGAATGCAAACAAGTAAGGAAACAGAAATATACTAAGTGAATGATACGTGAAACAAGGCTGTGACTCACAAAGAGGAAACTGCTGCTTGGCTGCACAAAAGAATTAACATTAAAACATTTAAGAGACTTAACATAGGAATAAGCTATTTTAATCAAGCAAAACCAAATTTGTATTCATTATTTCTAAAAATAAAATTAGACTTTTCCAACCCTTAACATCTGCATTTAATAATATCTTCTAACCAAAATACAGATGCTAAAACGGCAAATTACAATATATCTTGTACAGCATACAGTATGCTCACTGTTTACACCTACTTTAATTCTAGTTGGTCGTTATGTACTCAATGCATACTTAAACATCACTCATGATAAAGTTTTCACAATTAACAAAAAAAATGTGACAAGGCTGTCTTAAAACGGCTCTGCTATAAATTGTATAGAATATACAGAATTACAAAGTCAAGTATTTTTTTTATCAAAATATACACCCCTCCCTGAAACTAACACAAGCTATCAACATTTTAAACGAATAATACAATTATAGAAAATATTTGCAAAATTATTTTTTCATGTATAAATATTCTGCCATATTTACTTTGGTCTAGAATTATCAGCACACAAGTCCACTTAAAAAATTTCCACATGTAAGGGCTGGGAGACATCACTACATGGAATAATTTTATGTTTAGAGTTACCCCAAATCAAAATGACTGAAATACACAGTAATTCTCTTTGATTAATAATCCTAATTGAGATAAAACAAATTAGTAGATCACAGAATTGCCTATTCATTATTTTAATTATCAATTCAGAAATGATTTTCATAAGCCCTTTGTGACTATCTCTTTGAACAAAACCCAAATGAATAATGCAGGTATACATATATACAATGTATTAAAATAAGGTTGAATTTGCTTGCATTTTCCCATTTTCCTCTATTACATAATACTGTATGCAAGTGAAAGTAGATGAACAAAAGATAAATGCAGATGCAGTACTGGGGTTACTTAACAGCAAAATACTACTATATAAAAAGGTCAGCTCTGATCATGTCCTTTTCTGGGTGTTTAAACGTTTTCTTGCCCACCCAAATCCACATTAAGTCTTCTTCGTGGAGATATCACAATACTTGGAGAGAGGAACTGGAGTCCTTTGAACTACTTCTTCATAGTGGTGACTTTGCAACCTTGGATAACCTTGGGCTTCCATCTATCAAATCCCATGAACATGAATGGCTGTAGGTCGCCCTTAAACCAGGTTCCGGATTCTGCTCACACTGCTGATCAAAGGGTAGGAATTTCTCTCTCCCTCCTATCCTGGCAGTTTAAATATAAGAATGAGGAGTTCCAGCTTCCTAGAACCTAGTCCACATGATGGACTATCCTACAGGGCAACTGGACTTCGAGGGCAATGCTGATGGTGTGGGTCAGCATAAAAGAACATGAAAAAACTCAAGTGGGTTTTTAGCAAGGGAGCTAGATGTCTGCAAACATGAAGACAAGGCATCTGGCTTTGGGGATAGGTTTCTGAGTCATGTAAGTAAGTGATGGAATCTTATCACTCCACATTCTGTCTCCCCACCCCACCCCCAAAAAGCAAAGCTCCTGTTTGAGGCAAGGAAGGTCATCGCCTCCTCTTGCCCACTCAAGTCATTAATGGGTGAGGTGGGAGGTGTGTTTCTGATGTCCTTTTGTTTCATACTAGTGTACATTTGTGGGCTGTATAATCTCCAAGGCTGACGATTATAGGGATTAGGCTTTCTGTCACTTTCAAGTGCCTGGGAATTCACCACCATACACATGCTTTGCACTAAATCTCCTGGACACCCCCCCTTCAGTGGAATGGGAGGTGTCAGGTTTTATGTAAACCCTTGAGACTGATTAAGTCTGTCTGAAATAGATCCCCCATATCCATGGCCTTGCGATGGATGGAAGACTGCAGGGAGTTTCAGAAGAATTTGACCCTTCTTTATTTTCTGAGGTGAGGCCACTGCAAAGTAATATACAGCACAGGTAATCAGAAAAGTTCTGGGAGGGCTCTCCCCCACAGATAAGGCATGACCTATGTTTTCTGTGACTGGAGCAGACCAGTTCTAGTAATAGCTCAGCCATAACTTCAAGGGAACAGCATTCCATTTAAAAGCAAACAATATGCTCTTAAATCAGATTTGAGATGCTTTCTACCGATTTTTCCATCAGTCCTCATTATTTGCAGATCTATTGCTCGCCATTATAATTCTCTACAGGGGACATGGACAGTTAAAAGTCATAGTGATTTATATATGTATTTTACAAGGTTTGTGTTGCAGAAAAGTAGTTCTAGATAATGAATGTCCTACTTAGGTTACTCAATTTCACACATATTTTCAGCTATAATATTAAATATTTCATATATATCCACTAATTTAAACAATTTTTAATAGCACAGAAGCCAGATGGGAAAAATGACTGTCATAGCTCATTTACCTTCTAACATATTTATGAAGATGATGTTTTCATGATATCTGACCCTCGTTTTCTCCAGTGGACTAAAGACAGCTCAGCAGCCAGTTCCTATCAGCACTTACTAGAAAGTTTTAAATTAGGCTAACATTAGACTCTTCCCCCCCCACCCCCACTGGCAAAAATACCACAGCTAAGAACTTCATAAACTTCCACAAGATACTTGGGATACTGGAGGATTCGGCTATTTCGTTTTTGTGCACTTTGCATGAAGTTAATGCTAAAACCCAAAGTAGGTATTAGGATCCTTTTTTCTGGAATTTTCACAAATGAGATTTTCTTTTTTTTACATTTCACTCCTTCATGACTGTTGCGTGAACAAAACTTTAAAAAAAAAAAAAAACAGAAGAAAACAGCTAACTAAAAAACAAAAACAAAAAAAAACCCCAAACAACAAACCCACCAACTTATATTTTTGAAGACTTTTCTAAGTATCGCCACTCAAAGGACATTTTCAACAATGGTTTGTACGTTATCCTTTTGGTCACTGTCTTCTGAGTCATTGACATGTGGGTTCTCCAGGGGGTTTGAGTTCTCCTGGCACATGTCACCTTCTACTTTCTCCCGCTGACTTGGACTTTTGAATAAGTGTTTCTTCTGGTGCATTCCAAGGGCAGCAGCTGTTTTGCAAATTTTGGGGCACTGGAAGCAGGCATAGCCCTTCCCGTCATGCTCCCAAATGTGCCTCTGCTCGTGATTCCTTTTTGTGGAAAGGTACAAAAAGCTCTGAAAGCAGAACTGACAGTGGTAACGCTTTTCGCCCGTGTGGATCCTTTCGTGGATCTTGAGGGTCTCGTTCAGCGTGAATGCCTTGTTGCAGTACTGACAGATGAACTCCTTCACGCCCAGGTGGATGCGTTCGTGTTTCTGCAAGTTTCCCTGCACCGAAAAGCACCGCCCACAGGTCTTGCACTGGTATGGCTTCTCTCCGGTGTGACACCTCATGTGCATCTTGAGGGTCGACGGGCTCTGGAACTGCTTGGCACAGAACTCACAGGCGTACGGCCTCGCAGTGAGATGCCGGTGGGGCCTCCCTTGATTCCCCGCGCCCGAGGCTTTGTCTCCATCACAGAGTTCACACTGCAGCTTGGGCATCTCCTTATTTTCTTCTTCCTCAAAGGCCTTCTCCTGGGGAGCCTTCCCCACGGCACAGTCCAGTTCTGCCGGGTATCTGCACTTACTGCTTGGGCTCCTGTTTTCATGCTCTTTCTTCCAGTTGGCCTTCCTCATTTTTCTCAGCTGTCTGGATTTCTTTTTGGGTTTGTAGTTGTAGTAAGGACGCCAGGGCTTGTCGGTGGAATCCTGGTCACTGGCGTCGTCAAACATCTCGTTCATTTCCACACACTCAGACTGGCAGAGCCCGAGGGGGCTGGCTCTGTTGGTTTCCGGGTCACTCTCCTGTGGCAAAGCCTCCTCCTCCATCTGGTACTTGGGTCTTCTTCCTCTTTTATAGAACAGCTTAGATCCTAGGATGTGCCTTTTCACGATGGCTTCGTTTCCAATTTTCACTGTTATCTGGCACAGGGGCGCGACATTGCTGTTTGTAGAGGTTCCAGGCAGAGCGGGCTTTGCAATGTAGGTTTCGATTTTACTGGTTTCTTTAACATTTGTGGTTTTGCTCAGCGACCCTCCGGGATCAGCCACGTACTTGGACTCGTCTGCTACCTCTGCCTTGTTACACAGCACGGTTTTCTTTTTTTCCTTGATGCTCTTGGGCCTGCTGACCACTCTGCTCACTTTATCGGGCTCAAGTTTGCTGTCGTCTTTCAGGGCCTGACTGACAGCCGGGTCTGAAGGGGCTCGGTGGTTGCTGCTGGCCACGGCAGCAACGGCGGTGCTGTGCATTATCACCGATGAGAACTGGCTACTGTGCACAATGACCGAGGGTGCTGAGCCACTGTAGCTGATCACGGAGGCTGCGTGCTCACTGCCGTTACTCAGAGATGAAACGGGTACATCCCCTACCGGCAGGTCAGAGCTGCCGGCGTTCTCCGTGGAAGAAACGGACACCTCGGTGGAATAAAAGTGATTGTCGAGGTCCACTTTCAACGTTTCCTCTCCCCATTTGGTCCCCTCTGCATTCTGTACATTGGCAGAAGTGGGTACCTCCTGACGTGCTGACGTTTCCAAGGGGATGGCGGGACTGTTGGTCAAGGTGTTTACGCGGTCCTGGAAATTCAATGTTGGTAACTCAGAGCTGTGTGGATTCTGAATAACATAGGGGCCAGCTGCAGACTCATTCATCTGACTGTTCTCTCGGGCATTTTCATAGGAAGAATTTCGGTAGCTTTTATAAGGAGCCCTCTTGCATTTCATAGGCAGTAGCCTGTAAAGTTTATATGGATAGACGCTAGGCTTCAGGCCTCCATTGGCTGTTTTTTTACTGATGGAAAGTCTATGATCTATGGCATGGAAAGACTTCTGATGGTTCTTGAGAATATAGTAGGTCATGAAAGTTTCAAGGCAGAAAATGCACTGATAGCGCCTTTCTCCTGTGTGCCAAATTTCATGTCTTGTCCTGTACTCAGCCAATGCAAATACTTTGTTGCAGTAATGGCAAGGATAGGTTCTTCTCCACGAGTGAACATTTGCATGCCTTCGGAGGCTGGACAAAGTCACGTAACTCCGTTTGCATACAACACAACTGTAGAGCATCTGCCCGTTCACAAATTTAACCATGTGGTCCGTTTCTGGCAAGGAGCTTCCGGTACTGGAAAAGTCACCGATCCTGTTTTCAGACAACAGAGGTTCTGGACCCGTGAATGAACTTCCATTCTGTCCAATGGTAGGATAGTTTTCTAAAAAGCGCTGGTTTCCTCCAGGAACAGGCATGTGGCTAGACCGCATACAAATCTGCTCGTGCCGATCCAGCCTGTTCAGAGTGCTGAACTGCTTGTTGCAGTACTTGCACACCAACGGCTCCTGGGTTGGCTTGTGAAGCTGCATGTGGGCACTGAGCAGTGCGCTACTGTCAAAGGATTTGGAACAACAGCTACAATTGTAAACGAGAGGCGGGACCTCTGCCGCCGGTGGCCCAGGAACGTCTGAGGATTTATTTGCATCTTCCTTGGAAAAACGGACATCTCCTTCGTTGTTGGGAGATTTCGAACGAGGCAGGACTGCAGCCGGCTGTGGGCTTCTTTCTTGATGAACCTCTAAGCTGGTTACCGGAGGGGGTGGTATACTGTCTGTAGCTGAGTCAGAATCCGGGGGTATGGACACTGTCTTTGGCTTTCGGCATGTTTTCGGTTTTGCTGCAGGAGCGTCACAATTTTCTTTACCTGTCTTACCAGGGGAGCTGCTGTCGTGTTCACGGGCAGGCTGATTTCTGTAGGCCTCGGCCACGGAAGAAACAGCATACGAGTGCTCCGCTAGGGTGCGGACGGGCTCCGCCTCGTGACACACGTCGGCCCTCTCCAGGCAGAGGCTAGCGGTTCTCATGGAGTCGGAGACCTTTTTGAAACTTGCCCTCAAGTCCAGTGGAGAAAACATGTTATTACTATTTTCTGTCTCAATGATGGAAAATGCATTGGTGATCCTTGGCCCATTGGTGATGGCAGGTTCTTCGTGCCTTTTTTCATTTTTTTCTTCTTTAACCACTCCCTTTTCGGTAATGCAGAATACATAGGGACCGGGGGAATTTGAAAAGTTGCGATCAGTAAGATCTTCCAAGAAGGATATTCCCAGCTTTTTTCCTGCAGCTGCAAGATCGGTGACTGTTTCCTGTCTCTTGACGACAACTGTGGAGCTGTAGATATAATTAAGGATTTCTGTAAACACTTCAGCTTTGAGATCATCCAGTTCCAGGACATGGCTGGAAATACAGATCGTATGGCTCCAAAAGATATTTTTGAAATAAAGGCTTGAAGCAGCTAGGACATTGCTGTGCGCTTTAAATTTGGTGTCTTCCACAATAATAGTGACATCACACAAAATGCCCCGAATGCGCTGCTCATTTAAGATGGAGAGCACTGTGTCACTGTGCAAGTCGTCCTTGAGGTCCCTGGAAAGGGACATGACTGTCATCTGAAACAAGAGGAGACAGATGATCAGAGACCCTCCCACAAGTAGTTTCTTTCTTTTTAAGTAAGCTCTATGCCCAGTGTGGGGCTCAAACTCACGACCCCTCAAGAGCAGCATGCCTTACCGACTGAGCCAGCCAGGCACCCCAACAAGAAGTTTCTTTATTTCTAGACAATTTTCAACACTTTTGAAACACTTTTTTTTTTGGTATGAAAATACAGGTTTTTATCTCATTCTGCTGTTACTTGTAAGACTTGGAGTCAACATTAGAAGCTAAATCTTGATCTCGCCCCAGTCTGTTTCTCATACCATCGCTAATAGTTGTTATAGTTGGAAATCCTCCCAGAACTCTTTCTCCAAAGCTGTAGCTATATATACACGTCTAAATTTGGGAGGAGGAGGGTTTCTCCCCACAAATGTTTAGGGTCTTTTCGTCACTCAAGACTGCTGCACTGAATTCCTAGAGCTGAGTAGTGCTATGGTCCTGCTACAACCTCCTATTTTCACAGATAATCCTGATGATCTGATCCAAACATCATTTATGAAGCAGGAAGATGATTTTCTTTTTTTTTTTTTTAAAGCTTTCCGTAAGTAAGCAGTACCCATATATAAAGGTATTGCCTGCTCAGAGAAGAAGAACTGGAGAAGCTGCTCCTAATTTGTGGCTCTGAAAGGTCTCTGGATGGAAAGCCTCAGTCTGCATGACCAAGTCTGACCACCAGGGGTGCCCTGCCTCTCTGCGCTACTGGTCCTTATTTCCTTTCAGGATAGCCAAGGTAGATTAAGGGTTTTCAAAAACAACTCTGTGAGGTATTGAAAGCACACAAAAAACAACACACGAAACCAGGAAAGTACGCCTCTGAGTCTAGTGCTATCTCACTGTGGTTTTGATTTGCAGACATCTCTACAAGATCTTGATTTCAATTCCTTCGAATATATACCCAGAAGTGGGGCTGCTGGATCATACAGTAGTTCTATTTTTAATTTCTTGAGGACTCTCCATACTGTTTTCCATAGTGGGAATTTACATTCCCACCAACAGTGCACAAGGTCTCCCTTTTCTCCAACCCTTCATCAACACTTGTTATCTCTTTATCTTTTTGATTTTTAGCCATTCTAACAGGTGTGAGGTGATATCTCACTGTGGTTTTGATTTGCATTTCCCTGATGATGAGTGATGTTGAGCATCTTTTCCTATGTCTGTCGACCGTCTGTAGGTCTTCTTTGGAAAAATGTCTATTCAGGTCCTCTGCCCATTTGTTAATTGGGTTATTTGTGGTTTTTGGGTGCTGAGTTGTATAAATTCTTATATATTTTGGATATTAACCCCTATTAGATATATCCTTTGCAAATATCTTCTCCCATTTGGTAGGTTACCTTTTTGTTTTGTTGGTTTCCTTTGCTGTGTGAAAGCCTTTTATTTTGGTGAGTCCCAACAGTTGATTTTTGCTTTTGTTTCCCTTGCCTGAGACATATCTAGAAAAATGTTTCTATGGCTGATGGCAAAGAAATTACTGCTTGTGCTCTCTTCTAGGATTTTTATGGTGTCAGGTCTCACATTTAGGCCTTTAATCCATTTGGAGTTTATTTTTGTGTGTGGTGTAAAAAAGTGGTCCAGCTTCATTCTTTCACATGTAGCCAACCAGTTTTCCCAGCATCAGTAATTCCACTACTGGGTATTTACCCAAAGAAAATGAAAACACTAATTTGGAAAGATACACACCCCTATGTTTATGGCAGCATTATTTACAATAGCCAAGATATGGCAGCAGTTCACGTGTCCACTGACAGATGAATGGATAAAGTAGATGTGATACACATACACACTGAAACATACACACAGGAGTATTACTCAGCCATAAAAAAGAATGTTGCCGTTGCAACAACATGGATGGACCGAAAGGGTATGATGCTAGGTGAAATAAGTCAGAGAAAACAAATGCCATATGATTTTTACTCACATGTGGAATTTAGGAAATAAAACGAGTGAACAAAGGAAAAAAAAAAGAGACAAAAAAACCAGACTCTTAAGTACAGAGAGCGAACTGATGGTTACCAGGGGGAGGTGGGTGGGAGGAGGGGTGAACTAGATAAAGGGGATCAAGCATACATTTATTGTGATGAGCACTGAGCAATGTACAGAACTGCTGAATCAGGGCACCTGGGTGCCTCAGTTGTTAAGCGTCTGCCTTCGGCTCAAGTCATGATCCCGGAGTCCTGGGATCGAGCCCCGCATCGGCTCCCTGCTCGGCGGGAAGCCTGCTTCTCCCTCTCCCACTCCCCCTGCTTGTGTTCCCTCTCTCGCTGTGTCTCTATCTCTCTCTCAAATAAACAGATAAAATCTTAAAAAAAAAACCTGTTGAATCACTATATACCTGAAACTAATATAACACTGTATGTTAATTATATTTCAATAAAAAAATATTGAGTCCAGTCACAGGTTCCTAAATTAGCACAATTTAAAGGCACAGTGGCTCTTGTTCTGGTTCAAGGATCTTATCTCTGTTCTTCCCAGAGCATAATTCTTGTTATTCTTTCTATATATTTTATACCATAAGCCTGGGATGGCCAGAGCCTACCAATTAATATTTTAATGAGGGATAGAATATAAGAAATACATGGTCCGTAGGGATCTAAGACACAAAAATTAAAACTTAACCTTACTGCATGCACTGTGTGCCATGTATTTTGTCCTGTTCCGTTGTCTCTCATTTAAAAAATGTTAACGGCAACTCACTAAACTAATTTCACTGTACACTAACAGATCAGTCCTGCAGTTAAAACCAAAAACCTCCCTCTGGTCTAAAGGCCATACTGACTAGCTATTCATCCAGCCTCTCTCTCTTTACCAAGTGATGTCCAGAAAGCAGCAGAGCTTGAAGATACTTCTTTAGCTCCCAGTGGCAAGGTCTTCCTCGCCCTGGAGACCCACCTTTAACCCATGGCATTCATTCAGTTGTGGAGAGACCAGATGGCCACTTACGAATTTTTTACCCTTTTCTAAAGCTATTATAAGTTGTGCCCATTATGTTATTTAGTGTCCTTTATACTTTAGGATCCATTTGATTAATTCTTTGATCTCTTCTAGCCATAGGAAAAACTACATTACTACTAACAAATTCTTCTATTCCCAAGACAAGGAAGCTTAGAACTAACTCTCATCATCGCCTGTTGTAGCCATAGTTAGCCTGGGTTTCTGGTGTGACTATGGTCTCATTTTCTTTTTTTAACCTTAGTTCTTCTACTCTTGTTTACCCTTCCTTTAATTGCAATTGTTCTTGAATCTTTCCTAGAAGTGTGAGGGATTAAGTCTATGAATAAAAATGGAATTAAATGTACTGGAATCTGCGGCTTCCTCTATGCCCCTGAAGGAGAGGGGGCCACCCTGAGCAGACAGCGGGACTCCATCCTTCACTGGTTATAGATCAATGACATATTTGGCTGATGCTTCTTTTGCCTTCCTTGGGGTCTCTACCCTGGGCCCTTGTAGAATCTACTTTCTCTCCTGACTCATTTATTCTCATCCTATTTGGCTTTTCTGAAGCCCATACATTATTCCAATTCTTTACCCAGCCTGACTGGGTAGTCTCAGATCTGGCAAAACATGTACTATGGTTTTATTTTTTTATTTTCTATTTTTTATTTTTTTAAAGATTTATTTATTTATTTATTTGACAGAGAGGCAGAGAGCACAGGTAGGCAGAGGGGCAGGCAGAGGGAAAGGGAGAAGCAGGCTTTCTGCTGAGCAGGGAGCCCGATGTGGGGCTCGATTCACCTGAGCCGAAGGCAGTCACTCAACCGACTGAGCCACCCAGGCGCCCCCATGTACTATGGTTTTAAACGGTGGTTTCCATCTTGGCTTAGTTCCATGCTGACACCTATTTTGTCCTTCCACCTCAAAACTACTGCTTTTTCCAAAACACCCCAGTTCACAGCACTCTGAAACTCCCACAAGGCCCCACCTCCACATAGGGCATGCGGTATTTCACATCAAGCTAATACTCCGAGGTGTTTGATGATAAGCCCCACCCACTTCTGTAGGATTGCATGATTCTTCACTTAGATTGCTCAGCTAGGATGGTAAGTAAAAGGCTAACTGTTAAAATCTAAGAATATCTTAATCATACAGTTAGAATAACATATAATAGGAAGTATCATTATATATGTCATTAACACATCCTCCTAACTTTGGAATATCCAAGTATGACACTGTTCAAAAGGGGGACTATCTACCATCGTGTGGCAGGAATCCTTTTAAAATCATAGTGACTGTGCAGCACTTCGATTTGCCTTCTTGGCACATACATAAAAACTTCATTCTTGTGTCAATTTTACCCAGCACATACGTTAATACCTAACATGGTCAGACACAGGGCTCAGGGCTGGAGATACTGAAGCATGTGAGGCAAGTCTCTGTCCTCAAGGAGCTCAGAGTCTAGAAGAAAGAGAACTGTCAACTAATAATTGGAATGCATGATGGTAGGCCTTATACTAAAGGTATGTACAAAGTGTTAAAGGATGAAATGCCAACTTATTATTTATAGGGGCCCTGGAAAGCTTGACATCAATCAACTGGGGGGGGCATCTGGGTGGCTCAGTCGTTAAGTGTCTGCCTTCGGCTGAGGTCATGATCCCAGGGTCCTGGGGCTGAGCCCCGCATCGGGCTCCCTGCTCAGCTGGAAGCCTGCTTCTCCCTCTCCCACTCCCCCTGCTTGTGTTCCCTCTCTTGCTCTCTCTCTCTCTGTCAAATAAATACACTTGATCTTAGCCAAAAGGCTGAGAAGCGATGTCAAATAAATAAATAAAATCTTAAAAAAAAAAAAAAGTAAAACTGGGGTGTGGGAAAGGCATTCTAAGCAGAAGAAACACCATGGGCAAAACAAACACAGAATGTTTTTTTTTAAGCAGGCTCCACACCCAGTGTGGAGCCCAACACAGGGCTTAAACTCATGACCCTGAGATCAAGACCTGAGCTGAGATAAGGAGTCAGACACTTAAGCAAC